AAATTTCAGGAGATTTTTACATTGCATGTCAACACAGATCATGCCCAAACACTAACAAATCTGAATAAGCACAGTGGCAAAGTACCACTTGAGGTACTCAGTTTACACCTAAATGTGCAATTTAGGTGCAATTATGCCCTGTAAAACACCTTTCCTAGAAAACTGCTGTATGATCTTTAAAACAAAAGGAATGTACAAGAAGCCTTTCGGTTTATACAAGTGCCTTCTAAATTGAAAACAATAATTTCACGGAACAAGATATTTCATCTGAGGAATATTGTCTCAAAATTGGAACAAACATAAGCTCAGAAAGCTGAAAAATTTGTCATTGATTTCACTTTGTCAGGTATAACCACCGTGAACATTTACACAAACACGAACAACAGCAAAGAACAATCTCCTCTCATTCAAATAAAAATTAGAGACCAAAACAAACAAAAAAAAGCCACCACCCATCTTTTGATAGTATACAAGATTACACAACAAAATTCATGTAAGTGACCATCTGCTATGTCGTTTTACCTGAAAGACAGCATGGGACCTGGAAGAGGAGGCATTTATATCTGTGGGATGTTGAGTTCGGTTTTTATTCCCATAATCCAGCATTTGAAGGATTTCCTCTGCAGATTTAGGCTTTATAGTTGAAGGAGGAAATAAGAAAAAGAAAAAAACATTTATCTTAAGTTTTCATCAAATAGAGCAGATTTCATACTGATTCCAAAATACATAAGGAAAAGTTTTCTATTTCGAAACTGAGGCACTTCAAACAAACTTAGTGAAAAATAATACGGTTCAAAGAGAAAACTCTCAAAGGCATAAACTTAAAAGATTTTTAGTAATAGCTTATCTTCCACAAGGGCTCTCCCCAGTTCAAGGAAGCCTGAAGAACGTCCTTTTTTCTGTATGAAACATTATTTGTATTGGACGCAATTACAAGCACAGCATGCATTAAACAATATCCTATTCTTTCACCTCAAAAGACCCAGGCTTTGGAAAGCGTTATGTTCAAAGACTGAACCGAACTGCTGATTGTAGAACCATTATGCCTTGCTCACAGAAGCTGAAAGCAATGTAGCATGTAACATGCACTAGGAGGTTGCAAGAAAGTCAGAATCTTGAAGACCATAGTCTCTGGATTTGAAATCTGACTTAACTCTGCCAATTTTGCAATAGAATTGCTATGCTAGTCTAGCAAATTCACTTTAAAGGCAGATTTCTGGGTATAACTACTTAGAAAAGTTACAAACAAATAACTGAGATGCATGTAAGATATCTGCAAGGCTATTGAAAGCTCACTGGAAGCACAGGCAGAAGATTAACTGCTACAATGTGTTAGTTAAAAACTTATCTTCCCAATCCCAAAGACAAGMATCAAATCAACAGTACCCTTTGGATAAAAGGCTAGATGTTTTTAGAAATATACACATTTGAATAGCAAAGCTCTTCTACAATCTGCTTCTGAATAATGAATGCATTAAGCTTCTAAGTTACTTAGATATTGGTGATGATTGCCACAAAAAAAACACTTAGGAAACTATTTGGTATGCAGCTTACAAAGCTCCAAAGTCTGCTTACATACCTGGTGCAGCGTTAGCCCTTGAACTACTACCCCTTTCTGAGCATCTTCACGAACAGCCAGAGGTCCCGAGTTTACCAGCAGATCACGAATCTGTTCGTTATAGACCTTCGGAAAGGAAGACATAACTGTAACAAACATTTTACTGCACTTGACAGGATAAACTTAACTAAACACAAATCATTACGCATTTTAGACTTATTTAAGATAACAAACTAATTGTGTATAATTTTTGCCAGATGGGCTTCCTTCACTGATTTTGAGAAAATATTTATTTTGTTCACTGTACATATACATTTTAGGCATTGAAACTAGAAGCATTCTTTCTAATAAACAGAAGCAGTTAATTTCTGAAGCAAGAGTGAATATTATCTTTTACTAAACTTCATTATAGATACTACAGTAAAATTTTTTAAACCAGATACACTTCTGCTTATATTCTTAACTATCATATTTTATTTATGGACTCAAAATACACTTAAAACAGCTTAGGGCAAAACATACCTTTTCTTCATCACTTTCCCATCACTGCCAAATAACTGCTACTCCTCCCGTACAACTTAGTGGGAGATGAATGTTAACTATAATTTATTTTTGCTACTTTTGCATGAGCGCAACACGTTTGCGTGCAAAACCAGAACTTTGATACAAAAACATAAAGGAAAAAGAAGAAATGCAGACAAAGAATGAAGGAATATTTGTAGACAACTAACTTGGCATAACAGTTCTACTGCTTTGCTTTTCAAATCTAAAAAGCAGTTATACTAACATGAATATTTGAAAAATAAGTTTAATTTAAAAGGAAGCAGATACGCATTTCAGAGATTGCGGAATATTTACAAGCTTTTGTTGCTAAGTCCCGAAACAGGATATTTCCTTGTATGCACTCACAGACATTCAGTAGGATATAACTGATAAACAAAACATGAGTACTTAATAAAAACTGTTATAAAAAATTATTGTTTTGAAGCACCTGACTGTATGTCAGTAACAAGTATCTATAAATTAAACCTGCAGAGCACAGTTCTGTTCCATTCCTTTCAAGAACCTGTTTTGTAATGTCCAGAATGGGTGACTAGAGGAAAGAGAAAAAAGCTTGCTTGTGTTTATAGTGTATTTTAATGAAAAACAAACAACAAAAACCTCACTAAATGCAGAGTCTTACCTCTAAATAAGAAACAGCAATGTTACAGATTTTATCCTCTTTTATTTGATCCATGCAGTTATAAAGTGCCATCATGGTTAAGTACATCACTCCAGGATCTTGAGGGGAGCCTAGCATTGTATGAGTCTTCCCAGCTCCTGTTGCACCATATGCAAGCACTGTTTTTTCATTAAAAAATGAACACATATGTTATTATTCCAGCAAGCCAATCAGGAATACAAAATTTAAATGTACATTCATCTACCTCTAGCATATTGCATAGCTGCTTCATAAGATGATCAAGTTTCTTAAGGTTTTTTCTTTTAATAACATAATCAGAAAGCTATTTCTGAACCATATTTATACTCAAATTTCTAGCTTAAAACTCATTCAACTTACACAAAAGGAAAAAAAGTTCCTTCTTTCTCACAGCTCTAAGCCATCTTTTTTTTCGCAGGAAAGTAATGCATTTCCTCACAAGCTTCTACATGCAAATTAAATAAGCTCTTAAAGAGCGAAGCTCATAAGAGGTTACCACACTCAGTGCAAAAACTACTTCTAGTTGAATAATTCCTTTGTATTAATTATACATTATATTTTTGATAAAGCTAAACCATGTATTTTAACCATGAACTCATTTTTAAAATAAAATACAGCTATTCAATTTTCTATGAGATATGATAAAAAAAAAGTTGATCTCCCTTTTAGATACATTAAAATATTCTATATAAGTACCAGCCTTTTAAAAGTAAAAGAGAAAAATAGAAAAAAAAAAATAGAGTTACCTGTGCAGTTATATCCATTTAAGAAACCATCCAGGACACTTTTTGTAGTATGTTCAAAAACTTCTAACTGGGATGAACTTTCAGCAAAAACTGCATCAAACACAAACTTAAGATCTTTCTGTTTACGTTTATTGATATCCCTATGGGCTAGTCTTTTCCCATGAAAGAAGCTGACTTCTTCCTCTTTTGGATCAAAGACCAAAAGATTCTGGTCTACAACATGAACCACTTTGGTAAAATTGCCATCTCTTTCCTTCTGGGACTCTGGACGGACACGGACCACCACCTTCACATGACTGCAGACATCCTCTTCTTTAGCAGCAGACATAATGGTAGTCCTGGTCTCCCCCACTTCGCTTCCAAGAATTTCTCAACCATGCAGCTGAACTTTTCCTGGGGAAGGAAAAAATAAAGAGAGAGGACCTGATACATAAAACATAACCTACCAGTTAGCTGTCTTAAGATTTTCAGCTTCTTGAGCTTATGCTGGACCTGTCCAGAGTCCCTCCCTTAGCTTTATGAACTGCAACAGTGTTTATGCCATTAGTTAAAGCAGGTCAGCTGGCCTTAAAAGCTGCCTTAATTCTTTATAGAAGTCAGAATAGGCTAAAAAAGTTGAGCAGTAGTTCTACAGAAAGATTATTTCTCCAGTTTAATGAACTATTTAAAATTTAAAGCTTTAAAGGGCTTCAAGACTATTTCCCCAGCTTTTAAAATGACCATAAAAAAAAAAAAAATACACCTATAAGGTTTCCTTCAGAACAAGTTTGCACAAGACCTGCCAGGCCTTCTACTCATCTAGTCTAAGGCTTTCTTTCTCCTTCACTAAAAACCAACGCATGCTGTAGAAACACTTACAGCTTTTTCTAGCACATCCATTTAATCCTGCTGCACATTGAAGCCTGCATAGTTTGCTGAGGACGCCGCGCTCAGCCCAGCAAGAGAGGCCCAAGAAGGGCTTCCCCTTAACGAGCCCTTCCTACTTACACCGGGGCGGGGGCTGCTCGGCTAGACACGGGCGCGAGGCCCTTCGCGAAGGGGGCTCCGCGCAGCGCGCCCGAGACACCGCACCCGAATTAGGGGCGGACTTGCCCCCCTCGGACAACCCCTACGCGGTCCTGCCGCCCCGGCCCTCCCGGGCACCGCGCCCCTGCCCCGGGCTCCGCTCACCTCCCACCTCTCCTCCGCGCGCGGYTCAACGGCGGAAAAAAATAACGGCCGCCACTAACGGCCGCCGCCGAATTCAAATGCCAGTGGCCCGCCTCCCGATTGGCTGCCGCCGCCGTGACGTCAGCGGCGCGACGGCGCGACGGCAAGGGCGCGCGCGTGGTAGTGGGGCGGGGGGCAGTGGCCGTTATTAACGGCCGTCGGCTCCGCGCGCGCTGAGGTRGAGCTGCCGTTACAGGCGGGGTGTGTTCGTTAGCGGGGCTGGCGGCCGTTGCTGCCCCGCGCGGGTCTGTGGGCGCCGGGCTGAGGCGGCGGTGGCTCCTCCGCGGGCGCGCTAAGGTACGCGGCGCAGTGGGGAGGCAGAGCGGGAGCGTCGCCGCCTGCGCGGTGGGGCCCGTGGGGCGGAGAGCGGCGGGATCCCGCGGGGGAGGCGGCTCCGCACCTGCTGTGGAGCGATAACCGCTGTGAGCGAGGGGTTAGAAACCGCCGAGGTTAAACGTCCCTCCGGAGGCTCGTGGTATCCCGTGCCAGCGCGCGAGCCCCTAGAGCGTCCTTCCCGCCTCTTTTTCCCTTATTCCTACGGTAATCCCAGCTGRGGGGCTGCGGTTCCTCGCGGGGACTGCCCGTTCGCGGCTGGAACGCAGCGCGGGCCCTAAAACCGCGAKTGAAGGGCGCGCAACGCCCCGGGGGCGCTTTACGTGCCGCGGGCGAGCCTAACTTGGCAGAAACGGTGACTCGGCACTTTCCTGGCGCCGCGGGCCAAAGGGACAACCCCCCGCCAGCCGAATCGGGGGAAAACACCAAAAAACGCGGAAGATGAGTGACGTTTGGCAGCCGCTGGTGTTTTAAATGCACTGTGGTGTATTTTCTAGTAGCCGTTATATAAAAGTTGGCAACTTTACCGCATGGCAYGAGCGAGTGTGAAGGGTAATATGCAAGATTTCAACTCCAAAAAGAACCATAGTAAACTTGTTAAGGAGGTATTACTATTACCTGTGCTGAATTAACCTTTTTTTGATAGGGCAAACTTTGTTTAGTATGGTATTTTGCTAGTGGGTCACTGACTTCTCTTTCTCATCACTCAGGCATGGTGTGTGTGGGGGGGGTGAACCCGTTCTCAAGTATTTGAAAGGAGTCCTTTAAAAAACCCTTTCCTATAGTCAGCAGTTGTGAAATTCCCAGGGACCTGTCAGGTTCAGTTCCTGTTTCAGTTAGCAATAGCAGTCGGAGTTAGCAGTTCTGTTTTTGAGGATTCCTGCCTTTGTGTATTTTTAATGGCTAGACATGATGTGTGATAAAGATAGTATATTTACTATGCGTCTCTTAATTGTAGCGCTATGTAAATATAGTACTATTTTAAAACTGCTTGAGGTGTTTCGTTTGCCAATTTCTGTTTTAATTTAAAATATGGGGAATTTGGCAACCCGAGTGCGACTGTAGAATACAAATATATTGTTGTCTCTAGTGAAAGAAATAGGAACCTCCTGGAAGCAGAGTTAGTCTTTTATTTGCAATTAATTTGATTGCTCTTGTTTAATACCATCAACTCTAGAACTTTATAATTCTGTTAAAGGCCAAGCGGAGCAAAAGGAAGGTGCTTGTAAAAAGAAAATCATTTTGACTTTAATATGATTGATGTGTAGATGGCCTTGAAATTTATAAAAACAGTCTAAAGAAAGATTCTGTTGACTATTCTGTTTTCTGTTGATGTGATTTTTCTATGGAACCTCCTTTTTTCTAATATATGAGCATACTATTTTAAATGTGTTCTAAAATAATTCTGAATATTTACTCTTCTTCTAGATTGATCAAGTCCAAAATGCTATCTCGGTGCCTGTGCAAAGTTTTGCACAAATCCTTGCTTCTAYGCAACTTAGAGCTGAGCTCGATAAATACAGTTATTTCCACCAGAAGGATCCATTCTTCAGTAAAACCATTTTCTGATTGTGAGTTAACTGAAGAAACCAAACAAAAACATGAAACTGAAGAGTTGCTTCAGGGTGCAGAGAACAATTCTGAAAGATTGCATATACCAGTGATGGTGGAGGAAGTCGTTAATTTCTTATCCCCACAGCCTGGCCAGGTGAGTTAAATGATAACAGCTGTGATTGAGCAGCAGTCCTGAATACACTGCCCAGAGTTGGGGGAGTAAAGGAGCACTCTTAAAACATGTTTTGTACTTCTAAWTTGATATGCTAATCTTTTTTTATTATTTTTCGTAAAGACTAGAGTTGTTGTTTGTATACGTGGATCATAAAGTAAATATTATTTGCTAAAACTGCAAGTAAGTACTTATATTTATCACTTTTGTGCTAGTCTTTCTGGATTGCTTTTGTGCCTGTTAAGGGTTGTGTTAATTACTAGCAGTAGAAGGGAGTTCTCAWATGTAGTTAGGCAATTGATTTATGAGCCACTTTCTCCCTGTTTGTGTARAGAATTCTAAGTGTGGGTACTTATGTTCTTGCATGCATCTTACTGTTGAAGATACTCAAATTAGTGAAATATGTACTGAACTTTGAGTTCAATTTTCTCTGGAGTTGGGAATGAACTTTTCCACATTAAATGAATGCATAAATTAAGACATTATATGTAAAGTAGCTTTTCAGTTCTGTARGTTTGTACTTTAATGAGGATTAAGCAGGCTGGTGCTAGGGGGGAAAGAGACTAATTCTTTAACTGTGATGGTGGTTTTAAAAAAAACTTGTAGGGGAAGGGAATCTTGCAAGAATAATTCCATTCCTGATTATTAACTGTAGGCGCTAATTTTTTATTGTCACTGAAGGGACTTTTTGAGAAATTTAAATAAGAACTTAGGAATGCAAAATGGTTTATTAGCAGGACTGGATTTTAAGTTTTGATCATGACTAGTAATTATCTCAGTTTTCAGGTCTCTCTGCTTTTGTGAGCTTTTCTAAGCTAATAATGGGCCACTAGTCTCTGACATGGGGCAGTTGAGAATGTATTATTTTGGACAGAGACCTTTCTAACCACTAAACTGTGGCTAATCTGTGTAATAACATTGGCCGAGATGTATTTGAATATCTTTATGTAACTTGAAATAGTTTCAATGAATGCTTCCTCATTAATGGCTTAGCTTTGAAAATGAGTGTTGAGCTATTATTCATAGAATAGCACCTTTTTATTTCTCTGTGATTTTAATGTTAAATGCTAATTGGTAAGACTGTTTCTGTTTTGAGGACAAAGCCAGCCATATATTTAATTTTAAAACTTTTTGAAGTCTGCAGTTTTGAAAGTAAGCCATATGCAAAAGAGTACGGTGTGTTGTTTAGGTAGGATGGGAAAGATGACGAAATATGGTTGATGCCTACCTGTAATGTGTTGATGTGGTTTTGCTTTCCTGATTTCTTTCCTTGTACTTCATAGAGGTTGCTGTACTCAACTTTAACAAGATTTTTTTCTTCATTATGAAAAAGTTGATTTGGACCTTTATTTCCTGTAGTCTTGTAAGATAAGGAGTTGCCACTATAGAGAAAATCCAATTAGAAGGCTAACATTCTCCCTGTGATTTTTGTCAATGAAAGGGATTTCCTTTTTACCTATAGGGATTCCCAATAAAGTAAATTATATTATGAGTCACAGCTGATATCAAGATATTAGTACCCCCTGTTGGTTATTCTTGTTGGATGTCTCTTTTGCAGAATCAGTTTGTCGGAGATTTAAGCAATAATATTTCCACTTACCTTTGAGTTTCCTTTTATTGCTTTAGTGCTTATTTCTACAAAGTCTCTGTGGTGGTGATTTCTTGGAAGCACATTGTAGATTTTTTTTACCCATCTATTTCACTTCTCAATGAAAGTTCTGCAGAAATCCACACACAAGAAATTTCTTCTTTTAACTTTACTGTGTTGACTAAGCTACATCATAGTTTTCTCAGTCTTCCAGTATTTTTTTATGCAACCTTGATAGCAGTTTTTGCACTTGTCTGGGTGGCTTAAACTTTATTTGTTCTTGTGAGCTTTACAGGTAGTGTAGCTTTTCAGAATTAATGTCTTTGTCCTTCATAACCACACTTCCCTTATTTTCACCCTGCTTTTTCCTAACTTTTCCCTTGCCTCATTCACTTGCCTTTTAATTAATGTCTTGGACATCATACAGCTACAATGAAAAAGGATTTTACTAGCAGTCAATTCTAATATGAATGCCAGAAGAGGAAACTTTGGAGCTTTAATTATCCTTATCAGGGTCTTATAACTAAGTTTCTTACAAGTTCCACGTCTGTAGGAAGCTATTTTTATTACTGCTGCAGCATAAACAACATAAACACATACGCACTGTCTAGAATAAGAACTAGTATACCATAATCAGATTTAAGGAGTAAAATTGTAATCTGGAAGCACGTGTGGATTTGTAGTGTGACAGTCTAGAATAGAAGGGAATGGAGATCTAGTAAGTTCTAGGTGTATTGCTTGGTTTATGATAAGGTCTTCAAACTTTCTTTTATGTCTCTGAGTTGAATAGGTGGTCAAAGTTGTGGTAAGAATGAATGACAAGACTGATACCTTCTATCTGTTTTTAAGTGATTCATCAAAAAGTTGATGCCAAATGCTCCTTTTAGTTAATTAACTGGTAAAAACCATACAGTTAATTTCCTCAAGCAGATATTACATCATATCTTCTTAAGTTAGTGGGGATTCTGAAAGCATCTTCTTCGGTCCTTTGTAGAATTATTTGGATTTTTTTCTCTCCAGCTTTCACTGAGAGGCTGTCCTCTTTCTTTTAGAAGTAATATGTAAGGAATTTTGAGGTTTTAGAAAGAGGCACGTACTTAAATACATCCAATTTTGCTGTGATTTTTCCTTTCAGTTTTCTGGGTATGTATTCCAGTGTTCTCAGCAGCTACTGTCTTCATGCATCCAAATGTCAAATGAAAGATTCTTTTTGATCTGAGAGAGTATAAGCATGAGCCTTCCCCAATAACAGGAGGAAATACAGACTTTGCTCATGGAGGTTTCACGTTGGACTTTGACCACTGAAGTGTTGCATGAGGTCTGCATTTAGTTTGAAGACAATAGTCTTTCACCCACTCAAGATCTGTTGCCACTCTTGAATGTTTTTGATCTGGAGTATAGTAATTTCCTGTTACTCAGTGCTAGTTAGACATGTGCTATGTGACACTTAAAGAAGCTGAGATAGACTGCTGGTGTGCAAAAAGCTTGGTCTGTTCTTCTGATCTTATCCTCATAGTTACTTTATATCCTTATACATATGTCTTTTTACCTCCCCTTTATACGGAATGCAAGCTCTTTGCAGAAATAAGCTTCCTTTGTGCACTAGGACTGTAGAAGTCCTGCAGAGTGGACTTCTATTTTGAGAGAAGGATTTGCAAATACCATGGTATATAAATAGTTATGTGGCCATGTACTTATTATAACAATTCCAAAGCCATCTGCAAGTAATTATGACTGGAATTTACACTAAAGGTTCTCAAAGTCTGAATGGCCAGCAGAGTTTGCAGAATAAAGAGAAACTTGAAAAGGGACCTGGAAAAATGGACTCTTGAATTCTCAAGTTGTATGCAATATTATGTATTGTGCAACAAGTGAAATCCCAGAATGCCAAGCTAAATGCTGAAACGGATGTTTTGGAAAGGCACAACACCCTATGGACAGAGTAATTGCTTATATTATTTTAATCTATTTAAGTTATAAAATGAAAGTGGGTTCAGTGGCATAAAGCAAGTGATTCAGATTATTTTTATATTATAGTAATAGCTGCCTGTTTTGATTTCCTATTAAATATATATTTTCTGCCTGCAAATTGTGAAATTAATTTTCTGACACACCAGCACAGTGATTTATACTGTGATGGATGAAAGTAAGAAAAATGTTGTAAAAGTTGGAGGGTGGGGGGAAAAGGCAGTAAGTTAATGTGGAGAAATTCTGAAGATATTCTGGAAATTACAGGGCATAGTTACTGGCAGGGGAGGTATGTATGAGAGGTGTTTCAGCAGATCCTATTTGGTCATTACTGTTTTGTCTGATTGCTTGGTAGTGTGTATTGTAAATTTCCAAAGGGACTAGGTAGGTTTCATGCTGCAGCTGTGCAAGGGGAGGGATAGTAAAAAGTTTGTAAATTGTATGTATACAAAATGTATCTGGTTTTTGCATTGTGGAAGAGGAAACTTGCTACATTGAATCTCATTGAAGAGTATTGTTTTAAATGTTTAGCTACAATTATATATAAAAGGAATTGTTTTAAGCTGGTGTAGAAGATAGGTTGTCAAAATGAAAGTGTGATGTTTTGACTAAGATAATTCCTCAAATACCTTGTTTTTATTAAGAGTAATAATATCTGTGTTATGGAAAGTGGTATGGAATGGGGATTTGGCAAACCAGATCACTGTTTTCATTTGGTCTTTAACTTATAATTGGTTCTTAACCAATTGGTCCCTGCTGTGAAGAGCAATTGAGCTAAGCAGATAACGGGAGGAATGAATGTCATCTTCCAAAGTGGTGGCAGCAAATGTCATRTGTGTTCTACAGTTTCTAGGGCAGTGAATTACATCATGAGATGAGAAAGAAAGGAAGTTTCTCAGTTTTCTGTCTTGTCGTGAGTCCTGAAAAAACAAGGATAATATATTCCTTCATGACAGACTGATTAAAACGTATGATTTATTTCAGATTAGATTGTGATTGTACCAGTGAATGAGAAATACTCATATATTCTATGTGGAAAATGAGAAGACATTAGCAAGACATGGTCAAGAGTTTACCTCAGAGTTAAATTTAAGGGACTTATTTAAGTTAATTTAAGGGACTTATTTTTCCTCTAGGGACCAAAGTGTAACTCAAAAACTTGAGGGTGAAAAATGAGTAAGCTGGTGACTACAGCTGCATGGGGGAGAATCTTTGGGTTATAGTTCTTAGACATGCACTAGACCTCTTCCTCTTCCCATCTGAGCATGACTCTCCAGAGGCAAATCTGACTGTTATCCTCAGCAACAAGACATGACTGCTCTTCCCAAATTCATTCTGCTTCTTYCTCTGTTGCCAGAGAGGAAGGGAAACCTGCAGCTGCTTCCTCCAAAGAGGCCAGCAAGGGAATTTGTTCTGTCTACTGAGA